GTTTTTGTTGCGCGGTAGTGGTGCTGCTGGAGAGCTTAGGATTCCGTGTGCGAGTCAAGCGTGGTTCGGGGAGGTTCAGGGAGGATTGAAGCGGACATGTCGGTGACGACCACACGAAAGCAGTTGTTTTTGCATTGCAGTTTGTTGTTGCATTGCAGTTGCTTCGGCACTGCGTTGTTTTTGCGCTGCAGTGGCGCTGCTTGAGCTTCAGCTTCGGATTCCGCGTGCGAGCCAAGCGTTGTTCGGGGAGATCCCGGTCGGAAGTGAACATGTCGGCGACGACGACACAAAAACATGTTCTTGCTGCATTTCAGTTTTTTGTGCGTTGCAGTTTTTTGCTGTGCGGTAGTGGTGCTGCTCGAGAGTTCAGGATTCTGTGTTCGAGTCAAGCGTGGTTCGGGAAGGTTCAGGCAGGGTTGAAGCGAACATGCCAGCGACGACCACACGAACCACTTGTTTTTGCAGAGCAGTTTGTTGTTGCATTGCAGTTGTTTCTGCATTTCGTTGTTTTTGCGCTGGAGTGGCGCTGCTTGAGCTTCAGCTTCGGATTCCACGTGCGAGGCAAGCGCGACTTGGGGAGATTCAGGGAGGGTTGAAGCGCACATGTCGGCGACCACCGCGCGAGGACAGTTGTTTGTTGCATTGCACCTTCTGTTTCGCATTGCGTTGCATTTTGAATTGCGTGGCAGTTGCTTTCCCGCTGTAGTGGCGCTGCTCGAGGTTGAGCTGACGATTCCGCGAGTGAGTCAAGCGTGGTTTTGAGCAGGTGCAGGGAGGGTTGAAAGGCATGTGCCGGCGACGGCAACACGGACACAGTTATTTTTCTGAATGGCAGTTCGTTGTTGCATTGTGGTTGTTTGTCATTGCAGTTTGTGTTGCGTTGTGGTGGCGCTGCTAGACAGCTTAGGATTCCACGTGCGAGCCAAGCGTTGTTTGGGGATGTTCAGGGAGGGTTGAAGCGCACAGTTCGGCGACCACCACGTGAAAGCATCTTTTGTAGGCATTGCAGCAGTTGTTGTTTTGCATTGCAGTTTTTTGCATGGCAATTTGTTGGGCATTGCAGCTTGTTCTGCACTGCAGCTTTTTTTTGCAGCTATTTGACGCTGTAGTGGCGCTGCTACAGCTTGAGCTTTGGAGTCTGCGTGCGAGCCAAGCGTGGCTTGGGGAGGTTCAGGTAGGAAGGGGCGAAGCGCACATGTCGGCGACGACGACACGAATACACTTTCTTGTTGCATTTCAGTTTTTTGTGCGTTGCAGTTTTTTGCTGTGCGGTAGTAGTGCTGCTCGAGAGTTCAGGATTCTGTGTTCGAGTCAAGCGTGGTTCGGGGGGGGGCTCAGGCAGGGTTGAAGCGAACATGCCAGCGACGACCACTCGAAACAGTTGTTTTTGCAGAGCAGTTTGTTGTTGCATTGCAGTTGTTTCTGCATTTCGTTTTTTTGTTGCGCTGCAGTGGCGCTGCTTGAGCTTCAGCTTCGGATTCCACGAGCGAGACAAGCATGACTTTGGGAGATTCAGGGAGGGTTGAAGCGCAAATGTCGGCGACCACCGCGCGAGGACAGTTGTTTGTTGCATTTCACCTTTTGTTTCGCATTGCGTTGCATTTTGACTTGTGTTGCAGTTTTTTTCGTGCTGTAGTGGCGCTGCTCGAGGTTGAGCTGACGATTCCGCGTGTGAGTCAAGCGTGGTTTTGAGCAGGTGCAGGGAGGGTTGAAAGGCATATGCCGGCGACGGCCACACGGAAACAGTTTTTTTGCATGGCAGTTTGTTGTTGCATTGTGGTTATGTGTCATTGCAGTTTGTGTTGCCTTGTGGTGGCGCTGCTAGAGAGCCTAGGATTCCACGTGCGAGCCAAGCGTTGTTTGGGGATGTTCAGGGAGGGTTGAAGCGCACAGTTCGGCGACCACCACGTGAAAGCATCTTTTGTAGGCATTGCAGTTGTTGTTACGCATTGCAGTTTTTTGCATGGCAATGTGTTGGGCATTGCAGCTTGTTCTGCACTGCAGCTTTTTGTTGCAGTTGTTTGACGCTGTAGTGGCGCTGCTACAGCTTGAGCTTTGGAGTCTGCGTGCGAGCCAAGCGTGGCTTGGGGAGGTTCAGGTAGGAAGGGGCGAAGCGCACATGTCGGCGACGACGACACGAAAACACTTTCTTGTTGCATGTCAGTGTTTTGTTGCGCGGTAGTGGTGCTGCTGGAGGGCTTAGGATTCTTCGTGCGAGTAAAGCGTGGCTCGGGGATATTCAGGGAGGGTTGAAGCGGACATGTCGGTGACGACCACACGAAAGCAGTTGTTTTTGCATTGCAGTTTGTTGTTGCATTGCAGTTGCTTCGGCATTTCGTTTTGATGCGCTGCAGTGGCGCTGCTTGAGCTTCAGCTTCGGATTCCGTGTGCGAGCCAAGCGTGGTTTTGGGAGGTTCAGAGAGGGTTGATGCGCAAATGTCGGCGACCACCACACGAACACATTTGTTCGTTTTGCGGTTTTTGTTGCCTTGCGGTTCGTTTGCATTGCAGTTTCTGTTGCGTTGTAACGGCGCGCCTGGCTGGCTGGTTTGGTTGGCTGGTCTGGCCGCTCTGGCTGGTCTGCTCTGTCTGGTCAGGTTGATCTGCTTAGTGTCTGGCCTGGGTTCATCTGCTCGGTCCAAGCGGGTTGGCTTGCTTGGTTTGGTCTTGGTTTTGCTGGTCTGAGCGGCTATCTGGTCTGGCTGGTCTGGGTGGTCTATCTGGCTGGCCTGGTTGGTCGTGCCTGGCTGGTCTGATTGGCTGGTCTGGCAAGTCTGCTTGGTCTGTGCGGTCTGGGTGGCAGGTCTGGTTTGTCCAGTCTGTCTTCTTGCGGCCCATCCGCAGCAGAACAATATTTGCTGCATTGCAATGGTGGTGATGTGTTTGATCTGCTCAGTCTGGTCTGGGCTTGTCTGCTTGGTGCGGTACATCCTGGCCGGAGGCCCCGAACACATCCCACGAGCTGGTAAGAAGTGCCGTCGAACGAGTCCCAGAGCGCACAGAAACCCACGAGTGGGCCCCAACGGACCCCCAGCATTATAGTGTTGGGTCGGTTTGCAGGGGCCTCTCGGGGCTCTTTCGGAATCTCTTGGTGCGCCTTGGGCTTCTCTTAGGGCCTCCTGGGACCGAGACTGCAGAGGGCTCCCAGATACTTCTCCCCCAGAGGATCCCGAGAGGGCTCCAAGAGAATTTCAAGAAGGCCCCCGAGCGTAGTATCAGACCAGGAGCCTCTGGCATGGTAGTCTGAGGGTGCGTTTGAGGGGCCCTCTTGTGGCGTCTGGGAGCTCTTTCGGACCCTCGTTGTCGTACCCGAGGCTGGGACCCAGAGCATAGTCAGGCGCTGGGGCATAAGGACTGTTAGGCTCGAGCGGCTTAGAACAGATAGTTCGGGTATGCGTGTGACCACACTCCGCTGCCCCATAATCTCGCAAAGGTCAGAACATGTTTGCGGATGGCAGCGCCCAGTGAGCGGGGTGATGGTTTGGGTGCGCGAAAGACCGCGTTCTGCTTGAACCCTGTTGCAGTTGGCAGCGCCCATGTACGGCATTCATGGTCGGGGTGCGCGTGTGACCCCATTCCGCTGGACCTCCCACGGGCCCACCAAGATGGCACCAACTGCGCAGCTGGACCTCCCAGGTGCTCACAGAATTGGCGACAGTTTCGCGTTTGACAGCGTGCATGCGGGGGTGAGTCGCGTGGGTCAGCGTATGGCCCCACTCCGCTGCACCCGTGAATGCACGAGCATTGTGGTTTTTGTCCGCACCCCGTTGGACCCAGCTCAACCCCAAGATAGTGACGGCAGTTGCGCGTTTGGCAGTATCCAAGGAGGGGAGTGATAGTTCGGGCTTACGTAAGGCCGCATTCTGCTGGATCCTCCAGGCGCTCATGATAGTGATGGGGCGCAAAAATTAACGCCCACGGAGGGGAGTAATAGCTTGGGTTTGGGTGAGACGCCGCTCCCCTGAACCCCACAGGAGCCCTCGACTGTGGCGATAAGGCAAGTGCGCAGTTGAGCCTCCCATGTGCTCACGATCTTGGCGACATTCGCCCAGTTTGCCGAGTATAGTAGCTCTGGTCTGCGTGTTATCGCATCTCGTTGCACTCACCGTGTGCCAGCGAAGACCACGACTGTGCCACTCGGTCCGCTTGTGGGATTACCCAACATGTGGAATACCAGTTTTCGTTTGCGTGATTAACAGTGCGCTCCGCTGCACCCCCCATATGGGACCACGGAAGAGACGACAGTTGAGCAGTTTGTAGTACCCTGAGAAAGCGATGTCTCGCTTGGGCCTCGTAGGACAGTTCTAGGGAACGGAACGCCCAGGAATCGAAGTTTGTGGCAGGCAAAAGGCGGCATGACGTAGGAGCCTGGAAGAGGGAAGAGTGGAGGATGCAGGGGGGGGGAAGGAGAGGAGCAACAGTGCTCTGTTCAACACGAGTGCCGAACCACACGGGGGTCGAGGCTCGAACCAGGGGAAGGCGCCAAAACCTAGATCGAGCCTCGAACCTCAAAGAGGGAAGAGGAGCAGCAGGAGGATGAGGAGGAGGAGGAGAAGGAGGGAAAGAGGGAGGGAGGGAGGGAGGCAGGCAGGCAGGCAAGCAGGGACGGAGGGTGTGATGGACGGAGGACGAGAATGAGGCCGCGCTGGATGTTGCAGTGGAGGAGGAGCAGAGGCCCCTGACATGCGACGTCTTGATGTGATCAACACGCGGCCCCCCCCGGAAGTCCAGATCCTTTCCCCGACGACGACGACGAGGACGACGACGACGAGGACGACGACGACGAGGACAACAACGACGACGACGACGACGACGACGAGGAAGACGAGAACGGCGACGACGACGGCGGTGGCTGCGGCGGCGGCGACGACGACGAGGACTAGGACGAGGACGACGACGAGGACGACGAGGACGAGGACGTCGCTCGTCGTCATCGTCGTCCTCGTCGTCGTCGTCCTCGTCCTCGTCGTCGTCGTCGTCGTCCTGGTCCTCGTCGTCGCCGCGGAGGCGTGCGAGCCCCAGGCCGCGCCGTGGTGCCTGGAGCGGGGCTGCCCCCGGTGCCGCCTCGCCGTGCGGGAGCTCGCCCACATCTACGCGCCGGGCTCGGCCACGACGACGTCGACGACGACTACGAGGACGACAACGACGTCGGCGACGACGATGACGACGACGACGACGTCGACGTCGACGACGAGGGCGAGGACGACGACGACGGCGACGCCGACGACGGCGAGGTCGGCGACGACGACGACGACGATGACGACGGCGAGGACGACGACTACGAGGACGACAAGTACGAGGACGACGACGACGACGAGGACGGCGAGGACGACGACGACGGCGACGACGACGACGACGACGACGACGGCGAGGACGACGACGAGACCGGCGACGACGACAACGACTTGCGACGGCGGCTCGGCGGCAGCCGCAACAACCACGACGTCCCCCCGGTCCACCCCGCGGCCTGCCTGGCCGCACGCCCTCCCCCAGAGGCTCAAGGCGGTCTCGGCCGTGGCCACGTGAGCGCCCGGACGGCCAGAAGAAAGAGGAGGAGGAGGAGGAGGAAGAGGAGGAGGGAGGAGGGAGGAGGGAGGAGGGGAGGAGGAGGAGGAGAGAAGGGAGAAGGAGAGGCGGAGGAGGCGGAGGAGGAGGAGAGGAGGGAGGAGGAGGAGGAGGAGGAGGAGGAGGAGGAGGTAGGGGAGGAGGAGGAGGAGGAGGAGGAGGAGGAGGAGGAGGAGGAGGAGGAGGAGGAGGGAGGAGGGAGGAGGAGGAGGAGGAGGAGGAGGAGGAGGAGGAGGCGAGGGCCCCAGAGGACCGGAACCTTCTATACAGAAGACGCACATGCCAAGAAACACCTTCCTTGCCTCCAGGGTGTCCTGGGTTTCTTGGATTTCGATGGTTTTGCGTTGGACATGATGTTCCCGCATGAGAAATCCATGGACGTCCTGGGGTCTGAGGGCCGGGCTTCTTGTGCAAGGTTTCTTGTGGTCGAGCTCCTACTGCAATGTCAGCTTGTGATTAACAAATGATCCCCCCCGAGTGGCTGATGAATACACTCCGCTGGGCGCGGAACATGTTTGAAATCACGCGCGCCAGGGTTCCGAGAGCTCGCTCGAGGAACCACCGCGCCGCGGATGATGGCAAACGGCATGACGAGGAGGAGGAGGAGGAGGAGGAGGAGGAAGAGGAGGAGCAGGAAGAGGAGGACGAGGACGAGGACGAGGACGAGAAGGTGGAGGAGGAAGAGGTTGGGGAGGACGTGGAGGCGAACTGCCCGCATTGTTCGGGCTGGACGAACAGAGGGGAAATGATTGGGGGGAATGCGAAATCTGCTGCATGTAGCTGTTGTCGGTCCCGCCCAGGGGCCCATCCCTCGACGCACGTTGGCCTTCGGCCCCTGGAAACGCTGGGAAAATCAGCTAAATGCGTAACGGCGGTGGCGGCGCCGACAGTCCCTGCCTCTGCCGCCCTTGCCTCCTGCCCCCGCCCCCTCCCGCAGTCCTTGCTGCTCCTGTCGCCATCTCGCTGTCGGCCGGGCGTCGGCGCTAATCCCCAGCGCCGCCGCCGTGCGTTTCAATTTGGCGGGCGTTCCCCCCCCCCCCCCGCGATTTGGCCGAGCAAGGAAACCATTTTTGAAATCACGCGCCCGGGCATGTCCCTCTACAAGATGGGTAATCGAAAATAACAAGAAAATCGTCGGTGAACGGTTTCTGCATATTTTTTGACAATGTTTGAACATTTGTTTGACATTTTGATATTTTCCCTGCCAAAATCCGCCTGTATGGGGGACACTTCCGACCTACAGCGATGGCGTGCAACGTGCAGCGAGCTTGCAGCGATAGCGGCAGGATCAGTCAGCATCTACACTCGGGAGTCGAGGGGGCCCGCCGTCGGGGGGAGGCCGAAGCCCCCAGCCTCGCCTTGGAGCCGTCTGGGTTGCCACAGTGTGGTTCCGGCCAGCAGCGGCTCGGAGGAGGAAAAAGTCGGGGGCCCCAAAACGGAGGTTGTGACCACCCCGAGTGGTGAGGTCGGTGGGATTCGGGGTCACGCACCGGTTTTTGGGACCGCGCCCGGGCAGTCCCTCTCAAGATGGGTAATCGAAAATAACAAGAAAATCGTCGGTGAACGGTTTCTGCATATTTTTTGACAATGTTTGAACATTTGTTTGACATTTTGATATTTTCCCTGCCAAAATCCGCCTGTATGGGGGACACTTCCGACCTACAGCGATGGCGTGCAACGTGCAGCGAGCTTGCAGCGATAGCGGCAGGATCAGTCAGCATCTACAATCGGGAGTCGAGGGGGCCGCCGTTCGGGGGGAGCCGAGCCCCAGCCTCGCCTTGGAGCCGTCTGGGGTTGCACAGCTGTGGTTCCGGCCAGCAGGGCTCGGAGGAGGAAAAGTCGGGGGCCCCCAAACGGGGTGGTGACCACCCCGAGTGGTGAGTCGGTGGGAATTCGGGGTCACCGCACGGTTTTGGGACTCGAGTCCCTCTCCGAGGATGGATGTCTTGGGCGACAGGGGCCTCCAGGGTCCCAAAACCGTGCGGTGACGGACCGTGCGGTGAGGTCTCTTGGGGTTCCGAAGTCACCGCACGGTCTGTCACCACACGGCTTTGGGGTCCCCAAAAAAGGTCGGGCGGGGCCTTGGCGACGACAAGTCCGTTCCAGGGCGTTCCATAACGCTTTCAGAGCGTTCTGGAACGCTATGAGAAGGTCGCGGCGCCGGAGACATCCTCCAGATCCGCCGGATCTCAGATATTCTCAAGTTATATCGGTGTGCCTGCTTTTATCCTCGTCCTGGCTCCGTTTTAAACAGCACCAGCCTTGTAACCTTCTGGCGATGCTGGCGCGCGGATCTCAGACGCTCCACGACCAGGCAGCCTCTCTGAGAGCCAGCGCGTGGGACTTGTGTGTTGGCATCCGCTGGCAAACCAGCACGCACGGCCAACTATTTTCAGGTGCTCGGAGGAGGAAAATGCACCCTTACCGCTACCCGTTCCACTTTTTTTTGTTGTTTGTTTTGTTTTGTTTTTCGGCCTCCTTGGAGGCTTTCGTCGCCACCATCGGATTCGGAATCTTGGTCACAGCGCACCCCAGGAGAGGTCCGGGGAGTCGCGATATCAGTGCCTGTCGGTTTCTCCACGGCATGGAACGGTTCGGGTATAGCCAGGACCCCGGTTAAGGGGAGCCGGCTAGTGATTGGGCCCCGAAACCCAAAATGTTGATTGGAATCGCTAGACTGCCGAACCCAGTGATTTTCGGGTGACGGCAATTCTGGATAGTGGAATGGCACGGGGGGGGGGGGCGTCCCCGCCCTGAGATCCGACGTAGCGAACAAAATGCAGCATCGTGAAATCCGCGCCCAGAGCCCCGGACCCCATCTCTCTGCGTCATTTCTCTGGCCCGATCGATCCGTGAGGGCCCCGGGGCCCCAGCAGAGGCGACAACGCGCGGCTCGATAGGAAATTGAGTCGCCAGGATCTCAGGGCGGCATACAGATCACTGAACCAGGTCCCGCCAAACTCAGGAGGGGAAGAAACACACAGACACAATGAATCGTCGATCTCCAGGAAAATATGGGAACATATGGGAAGTGGGGGGGAAGACTAAAACCCAGAAAATGTGGGAAAGTATGGGGAATCCTTTTATTTGTGTGTATTTATTTGTGTGTCCCAAGGCCCCTTCATAAACCCTGTCCTGCCATCGCCCGGAGGTTGGGCAGGTTCGAAGCCCCGGGTTCGGGAAGGTCCTCTTGACTTTTCGGCCTCCGGTGGCGGTCTGCGGGATCCCCCAGGGCCGAACAATGGTTTCGGTGTGTGAGAAACCACGGGCGCCCTCGAGGGCTCGAAGTTGTTTGCGCTTCGCGCTTCGCGGTTCGGCTCCGATTCCTCTTCATCCTCCTCTTCTCCCCTGGGAGGCGGCGCGAGAGCGCGAAGTTATTCGCACTTCGCGCTTCGCGCAGCGCGAAGCGCGAATTGGGGAGCCCTTGGAAACTGCACCAGATGGGCCCCGGGAGGTGTCCGGGGACCGAGGCGTCGAGTAGGGATCGAATACAGCATTGATCTGCCCCGAACCGGATTCGCACGTCGAATCTGGAATTCAGTCGGGCGTGTCCCTCTTCAAAAATAGTCAAACAATGGTTTGGGGACGATTTTTCTAGTGTGTTTTGTTGTTGTTGATTATTGTTGAGCATTTGTTTTGACTAATTCTTTAATGTGTCCTTCCGAATCCGCCTGTAGGAGGGCATGCCCGACCTAAACCTAGAAACCAATGCGTCTAACGTCCGTAGATCTACGAACATCCTACGCATCTTCGTTGGACTCGACGGGGAAATCATCGTCTGGGGTAAATCAATGTTGCATTCGATGCCCTTCTCGAAGTTGGAGCGGATCTGCCATCCTCCCCCTCCTCCTCCTCCTCCTCCTCCTCCTCCTCCTACTCCTACTCCTACTCCTCCTCCTCCTCCTCCTCCTCCTCCTCCTCCTCCTCCTCCTCCTCCTCCTCCTCCTCCTCCTCCCCCCCTCCAGACCGCCTGTATGGGGTCCCAGCCGGTGCAGACCCCTCAGAGCTGCCTCCAGCCCTCGCCGAGATCCACGCTTCGGGCAACTCGACGGCCGGGGGGGGGTCAGTCGGGCCTGTCCCTATACAGGGGGGTTTTCGACGAGGTATACAAGATGCTCCAAAAATAACCCAGAATGGTCAAAAAATGCTCAAAACATAATTAGCCCCATATTATTTTTGGACTATGTTTGGACTATGTTTGTTTTTTTTTCGTCGAAAAGCGTCCTGTTGGGGACAGGCCCGACCGGGTAGGGTTCAGACTTCGCGAACATGTTGCGGAATCCGAACCCTACCCTCGCCGAACCACGACTCGGGCAATTCGATGGGCGGCGGGGGGGCAGGGTTCAGAACTCGCCGAACACGTGGCGAGATCCGAACCCTGACCCCCACCGCCCATCGACTCAGGAGAATCGGTGGTTGGTGGGGGCAGGGCTCGGATGTCGCCCTCTCTCGCCGCGCACCTGCTGGCCACGCGCCTGCCGCCGTGTCGTGCCCAGCGCGTCGTGGCGGGGTGCGCCAAGGGGAGGGGCCCACAGGCCGGCCGTGGCCAGGCGAGGAGGAGGAGGAGGAGGAGGAGGAGGAGGAGGAGGAGGAAGAGGAGGAGGAGGAGGAGGAGGAGGAGGAGGAGGGGGAGGGGGAGGAAGAGGAGGAGGAGGAGGAGGGGGAGGGCCATGAGGCACAGGGTGATCTCGGCGTCCCACATGGGGTCGGAGGATCGCGCCGCGTCGCCGACGCAGCCACACTGCGGCTCGGGCCACCTGCCCCACGGACACGGCGAGCCAGCGCCGGCGCACGCCGTCGCCCACAGCCCCCCTCGTCTGCCTCCCTCCCTGCAGCTTTGGACGCCCGAAATGGGTACGGAAAGAATGGGTACAATGCCCAACAGCAGTTCCTGTTCATTCTGAACAGGTCTCGTTGTCGGTGTCGCCGCGGCCTGTGTCCATTTGAGACAGAAGGCCGCCTGCCCAACAGCGGCCGCTGTTGGTTTGGGACAACATTTGTTGTTGAGCATTGTACCCATTCTTTCCGTACCCATTTCGGGCGTCCAAAGCAGCGGCCTCCGCCGTTCGGTCGCCCCCCCTTGCTGGGCCTGCTGGTTTCCCCCCCCACCCCCCTCCCCAGGCGAAGGCCAGGAGGAGGGCATCAACGGGGGCGCGGGCGCCACCAGGATCGGGAGACCTCTGCAGGCGTGGCCTCGACAGTCGAAGCGTGGCCAAAAGAGCGCTGGTCCAGAAGGCGAGCCCCCGGTTTGCCCGAGGCCCAGAGCCCCCTGGAGATGCGCAACACGAGTGGCGCTCCCAGGTTTATGTCGGGCGTGTCCCCCTACAGGGGGATTTACCGACGAAAAATTAAAGATACCCCAAAAATGCCCCAAAAGGGTAAACAAAAATTCAAAACATAGTCCCCAGACTATGTTTGGATAATTGTTAGATGATTGCTGGGGTATTTTTAGGGTATTTTTCATTTTTCGTCGAAAACCCCCCTGTAGGGGGACATGCCCGACTTAAGCCCAGGTCGAGAGCCCACGCACGAAGAACATCAGGGTACCCCTCCAAGGCTCGGGTCGTTCGTAACCCTCGTGCCGGCGTAAGGTGCAGGAGGAGGATCACGAGGAGGCCCCGTTGGTGGTCGCGCGCACCCTGGGGCCGCCGGCCACGACTGCCGCCACCGGTGCGTCTCGACCTGAGCACCAGGGGGCACCGTGCAAGCGCAGAGAGCGAGCCGGAGCCAGATCGCAGAAGCCAGCATTCGAAGAAGAAACAGCACCATAGGCAGATCGACTACACGTATGAGTGACCCTTCGCCAGAGTGACCTTTGGTGCGAGCTCATCGGGGTCCCCCCGATCGCTCAGCGCGATGCGGTAGCAGCTTCTTGCGCGCTTGGATTTGGCCACCTTGCGCCCCCGTAGTCCGCGCATGAAAGGTCACTCTTGCCTAGGGGCACTCTTGCGTGTAGTCGAACATACACTTTTGGCGCTCCGCGTGGATTTCTTGGATTTCGCGCAGCACCTGCTGCACCCCAGGATGCTCCCGAGGCGGGAGGAGGAGGAGGAGGAGGAGGAGGAGGAGGAGGAGGAGAAGGGAGGAAGAGCGAGGAGGAGGAGGAGGGTGGAGGCGGAGGAGGAGGAGGAGGAGGAGGACGCGAAGGAAGGAGGAAGATGGCGGGGGGACGGGGAGGGGAGGAGCGCAGGGAGGAGGAGCAGGAGGAGGAGGAGGAGGAGGAGGGCGGAGAGGGAGGAGGGGGAGGGGGAGGGGGAGGCGGGGAGGAGGAGAGGAGGCGCTGGAAGAGGAGGAGTGGGAGGGGGAGAGGGGGGAGGGGGAGGCGGAGGGGGGGAGGGGGGAGGAGGAGGGAGGAGGAGGAGGAGGAGGAGTAGGAGGAGGGAGGAGGAGGAGAGGAAGGAGGAGGAAGGTGGAGGGGGGAGGAGGAGGAGGCGGAGTAGGTGGGCAGGAGCAGGAGGAGGAGGAAGGAGGAGGAGAGGGAGGAGGAGGAGGAGGAGGAAGGTTGGGGGGAGGGAGGGGGGGGGAGGAGGACCTCCCCCTCCTCCGTTCTCCCCGTCTACCCGTGGCAGCGGTGGCGGAACATCTGCTTCATCAGATGCAGGCCCTCACCCCGTCTTTGGAGGGTTTCTCCGAAGGCGGACCCCTCCTCATGCTCCCCCTCCTCCTCCTCCTCCTCCTCCTCCCCTCCTCCTCCTCCTCCTCTCCTCTATCCTCTTCTCTCCTCCCTCTACGCCTCATCCTCCTCCTCCTCCTCCTCCTTCCCTTCCTCCCCCTCCCCCATCCTCCTTTCCCCTCCTCCCCCTCCTCCTCCTCCTCCTCTCTCCTCCTCCTCCTCCTTCCCTTTCCTCCCCACCTCCTCTGCCCCTCCTCCTCCTCCTCCTCCTCCTCCTCCTCCTCCTCCTCCTCCTCGGGTCGCCTACGGCCCCGGGGGAAACCGTGCAAGTCGGGGCTCCGGCCTCCCCGCCCGGGCTATCCGCCGAGGTGTAGCGGCGCCATGCGCGCCCTGCGCGGCCTGCGCGGCCTGCCGCGCGCGCTCGGCAGCGCGGGATCGGCATCTGCGCGGCGGCGGCGTGGTGACCAGGCAAGGATAGGGGCGGGATGGGCTTGCTTTCCACCACCACTGTCAAAGGTAAGAGAGGGAGGAGGGGGAGGAGCAGGGGGAGGAGGAGGAGAAGGAGGAGGAGAAGGAGGAGGAGGAAGAGGAGGAGGAGGAGGAGGAGGAGGAGAAAGAGGAGGAGGAGGACCTCCGCATCCTCCTCTCTCACCCGTCCTGCCTGTGGTACGGGGGGTAGCCGAAGAAGATACGTCAGCATGAACATAAACTTTGGGCGCTCCGCGCGGATCTCTTGGATCCTCTTCTTGGATCTGATGTTCCAACCTGCTTCAGCCTTGCTCACCACAAATAGTTTCGAGCACCGGGGAAGTACCGAAACTCGAGGGGTTTCACGTGTCGGGCCCTGGGAGACACTCGTCCGACACCGTTTCCACACCTTTCCGGGCGCCCGAGATTATTTCTGGGATTTGGTCCTTCAGTAGGATCGGAACAACATAACTCTATGCTTGTGGAAGTCGATTAATGGAAAGGAAGCATGCTGTCATATAATTGCCAGATGTCTGAGAGATGTTCCACATACGTTAAACCATGTTTGAAACTTTTCCATCACATGCCCGGATACGTGAAGCCATGTTTGCTTGAACTCAATGATCGGATTGTTAGAGTGTCCGTTGTCATGGCATCCACAACACTACAGTGGGGGCGCCCATCAAGAAACCATCTGAGTTTCGTCAGGGTACCCTTGGTTTCTTCTCTCCTCGCGCTGCGCGGCGACTTCCCGCGGCCGTCGAAGGAGCTGCTGCGTTCAGGGTGCTCCAGGTTTCCCCTCAGGTGCACCTCGCGCACGGGTTCTCAGGGTTGGGTTTCTTGCGAGGGTTTCTTGCGGCCCCGCCCACACTGTATGCCAGTCCCCCCCTAACAACATGTTTGAAACTTTTCCATCACATGTTTGACAAATTTCAGAAACATATGTAATCCAATGATCGGATTGTTAGAGTGTCCATTGTCATGGCATCCACAACCCTGTGCCAGTCCCCCCTATCGTTTACACAGGTCAGACACATTTTTAATCCAATGATCGGATTGTTGGAGTGTCCGTTGTCATGGCATCCACAACTCTATGCCAGTCCCCCCCTCCTACTCGTTGCCCCTAGGAGGAGGAGGAGGAGGAGGAGGAGGAGGAGGAGGAGGACGAGGACGAGGACGAGGAGGACGAGCCGACAGACGAGGAGGACGAGGAGACAGACGAGGAGGAGGAGGAGGAGGAGGAGGAGGAGGAGGAGGAGGAGGAGGAGGTGGAAGAGGAGGAGGAGGCGGCGTCGGTGGTGGCCAGCGGGCTTGCGAGGGGGAGCCGCGCGCGCGGCCGCAGAGAGCTCCTCCTCTGCGCCCCGGGCCCTGGCTCGGCGGGGCGGCCACCGAGCCCCGCCCTCGCCCCGAGCCGCGGCGTCGGGCGGCCTCGCGGGGCGGCGGGGGGCGGGGCTCGGAGCTCGTCGACCGCGTGGCGAAAGCCGGACCCCACTCCCGGATTCCATAATACAGGGGGGAGGTCACATTTTTGGGGGGGGGGGGGGGGTACGATTTGAGCTGTCTTGGAGGGCTCGGTGGGGTCTGGGCCAAGGGCCGCCCTTGCATGGACGGTCTGGGGGGGTCTAGAGCTTCTCGTCTGGGAGGGTTGTGGCCCCCTCCCTTTTAAAACGATGTACCCTCGGATGTGCCGCGATTCGGGCTTCGGGTCCGAGTTTTTGGTGCGTCTTCGTTGGCTCTCGGCGGCTTTTGTCCAGCCTCGGGGTGCCTTCCAGCGGCTGCGCCTCGCCGAGAGCATTCCAGGGGTGCCATGATCGTTCCAGGAACGGCTGGGGCAGCTCGCTGGGCGGCGGGGGGTGGGGCTCAGAGCTAAGTCGACCTCGTGGCGAAATCCGAACCCTACCCTTAAGTCGGGCCTGTCCCCCTACAGGGGGATTTTCGATGAACAAGAAATACCCAAATTGTCAAAACATAACTCATCACATAGTCTGGGGACTTTTTTTTGAATATTTTTTGACCTTCTTGGTGTATTTTTTATTTTTCGTCGAAAATCCCCCTGTAGGGGGACACGCCCGACATACCCCTACCCTCGGATATGGGTAGACTTCCTACCCTGACACGTCGATCGAGGAAGTGGCCGGTCTCGGTTCGCGAAGGTGCGCCGCGGCCGTCATTTTTGCGGGTCCAGGTTCGTCGTTTTCGGCCCTGGGCCGTTTTCACTAAGGGGAGGTTCACTAAAGGGATGTTTGTCCACCGCCGATACCCCTGCCGCCCAAAGACTCAGGAGAATCGGTGCAGTCAACGCGCCCAGTAAGGATGCGCGCCTTCATCTGGGGTGCCCCTGTGTCCTTGCGTCTGCGGCACACTCTTTGCCGTTTTCACTGGTCGCCCGCCGCCCAAGAAATCCCAACTTCGGCCTCCAAGGGTCTTGCGTCCTTACCACCCGTCCTTACTACACGTCTTGACTGTGATTGGTGGGGGTAGGGGCCAGATGTCGCCACCTATCCGCGGCTCCAAGACGCCCAGCTGGGGCCGGAGCAGTCCGATGGGCCAGGGGATCGCGCCGCATCGCCGACTCCGCGGCGGCTCGTCGCGGTCCGGGGCCCGATTCGCTCCACCCCGACGTCGCTGATGCATCGGCGACGAGGAGGGCGAGGAGCAAGAGGACGAGGAGAACAGGAGGAGGAGGAGGAAGAGGAGGAGGAAGATGAGGAGGAGGAGGAGGAGGAGGAGGAGGAGGAGGAGGAGGAGGATATTGAGGAGGAGGAGGACGGGGACGAGGAGGACGAGGAGGCAGACGAGGAGGAGGAGGAGGAGGAGGAGGAGGAGGAGGAGGAGGAGGAAGAGGAGGGTGGGGATCAGCAACGCCGGAACACTTCTCGGCGTGGGGATTCCGCTTGAGCACACGGAAGACAGAGGTCTGGAACCCGCGCGCCTTGCTGCTGCCTGGGCCGCCAGCCAGGGCGGACGTGCGCGCGTGGGAAGCCCTCAGTTCGTGCGCCACGCCGCGGGAGCAGCCCCGGGCGCCGATCCCGCGAGGGCGAATTCGCCAGCTGCCGCCGCGCAGGCGGCCCTGCACCACCGCGACGTCAAGCCCGCGGCCGCCCGACAGCTCCGAGGACCCAGGCTGCGCGCCCAGGGCGAGCTCACGCTGCTGCGCCAGCGGCGCGGCCCTGCACCACGCGAGGACGCACCTGCCGCTCGACCAGCGGGAACGGCGAGTGGGCTGGCCGTTGCCGCTGGCGGGAGAGGACCACGTGATGGCGGACGCGGCGCGCCTGCAGTTGCCCGAGCCCGCGGCTGCCAGCGCCACCTGCTTCCGACGCAGCGGACGGCGCGCGCTGCGGGGTCTGCTTGGCCGCGACGCCAGGGTGCTGTCTGGGCTGCCACGTCGGCGGCGGCGACCCTGCGCCGCCGCGACGGCGTCGGGGACTGGCTCGCCCGTTTGCTGCGCGCCCGCGGCGCGACGGGCGTGGGCGCGGAGCAGTTCGCGCCCGCCTGGGACGGGCGTGGCGCAGGCGGCTCCGTCGAAGCAGCTCGCCCTACACCGACCCAGCGGCCGTCCCGGCCTGCGTCGACGCGCTGGGCACGGTCGCCCCCCGCGGCGTGGAGTCGCTGGCGGGCCAGGGCCGCGCCGTCTGAGACTTCGCTGCCGCGGGGCCTTCGGATGAAGGCAAACGCCGACGCCACCGAGGCCCAGTTCTTACGGCCTTCGCGCTGGAGGCCCAGGCGCATAGGCAGGTGCGGATGCGCAGGCGCTCTTCTCGCGGTCGGGGCGGATGCGCAGGCGCTCTTCCGCAGTTGGGCACGCGGTGGCGCCGCCGTGCTGGCGGCGGTTCGCCAGAGCCTCGCGGCGACGCCGCAGCGCGAAAACACGGATGCCTGCTGGTCCGCCTGCCTTTGCGCGCGCGGGGCGGCGCGCCGCGGGGCAGGCGGCGCCTAGCCGGCGGCCCGCCGCGCGTGTTTCGAGCTGGGTTGGGATGTTCTCTTGGCTGAGGCAGGCGGCAGCAAGCCGCCGGGGCGCGCGCTGCTCGGGGAGTTCGCCGCGGCCGCGGGGCGCGCGCTGGGGGACGCTGGGCGGCGGCGGCGGCGCGTCTGCGGCTCGGGGGCTGGGCCGGGGCGCTTGCCGAGTCGGCGGGGGGCGGGATGCCGCGGCCGAGTCGACGTGGGGCAGAGAGCTCCTGTGGGAGCAGGGCTGGCGGCGGCGCGGCGCTGCTGGGCGGACGCGAGCCCAGAGATCCGACGCCCCAAAAGATTCGAGCGGCATGATTTTGGCAGATTTGAATATCTCGGGGGCCTCGCCGGGCCTCGGGAGCGCGAGCGACGATTCGGAACGAAAAACCAGCCCCGGGGAAGTAGTCCGGATCTCTGGGGCCCACGCGTCGAAAAAATTGGAGCAGCTGGATGTCTGGGAGCGCGGGCGCAGCTGGGGCGGCGGGAGGGCGCCGCGCTCGGCGGCGGCAGCAGCGGCAGCGCCGCGCGGCGGCGGCGGCGGCGGAGGCCAGCGAACGGCCGCTGCGGCGGAGCGCGTCCGCCAGGTCCGAAGCGCCGCCAGGGGCGGCGGCGTGCCGGGCAATTGCAGTGCCGCTGGGGAGCGCCCGCGGGGTCGGCGAGTTGGCGGCGGCGCTGGCGGGCGGCGGCGGCGGCGCTGGCGGGCGGCGGCGGCGCGCCGGCGGGCGCGCGCGGCGCGGTACCCGCTGTCCAGGGGGCCCTTCGCGGACTCGAAGCCTATGGGGTTGCCGGAGGAGGAGGGCTAGCAGGAGCGGTGGAGGAAGAGGGCGGGGAGGAGGTGGGGAGGAGGAGGAGGAGGAGGAGGGCGACCGGTGTAAAGCCAAGACTCGTTGAAGTCATTGGAAGCCCTCCTTCCCAGCTCCCTCCTCATCGGCCCTGTTGGGAACCAGCCGTCGGGGAATTCCGGCGCGCGCCCAAAAACCGCATTTTCGGAGCCAGCAGCCGCATTTTCGGAGCTTCAACGCCAAGAATCAACTTGACAGTTGCGTCTTGACGATCTTGAATCGTGCAGGAACAACACCGCGAAAGTGGCAGCGCCTTGGCAATCGTGAGTCCCACCCGGACGTTTTTTGCTGGTACGTCAACGATGGGATTCCGAATATGTTTGTGTACTGCTTATCTTGCAAAGGGTGTCTAGAGCTCCGCCCACGTTATTTCGGCACGCCACCCCTTCTCCATCGCCCACGCATTCCATCAGCCAGCGCCCCCTCCGCCCCGACATCTTTACTTCGGCAGGGCACACCCCGCCCGACTTTTTTTTTTTATATAATATAATGATATATATACATATTATAATATGATATATATATATATAATTATATAATCCGGCACGGCACACCCACTCCAACACCCACCTCCGCATACCCTCCACCCACCCAGACAGCGCGCCCCCTCCGCCCCGACCCCTGCAATTTCGGCACGAAACACCCCTCCGCCCGACCCCTGTTCATTTTCCGGCACGGCCACACCCGCCTCCGCACCCCCCCCCACCCACCAGCCCAGCGCGCCGCCCCTCCGCCCAGAACCCTGATTTCCCGACGGGCGCAATCCTCCGCCCCGACATTTGTTTTATTTCGGCACGGCACACCCCCCCCCCACCCCTTCCGCATCCCCTCCACCCGCGACCTTTTTTTTATATTTCTTTCAGCACGGCACACCTCTCCGCCGCGACTTAATTTCGGCACGGCACACCGCCTCCGCATCCCCCCACCCACCAGCCAGCGCGCCCTTCCGCCCCGACCTCTTTATTTCGGCACGGCACACCCCTCCGCCCCGACTTTGTTATTTCGGCACGGCACACCCCCTCCGCACTCCCCCCGCCCGCAAGTCAGCCGCCCCTCAGCCCCGACCCCTGGTTTTCGGCACGGCACACCCTCCGCCCCGGGCACTTACGTCGGCACGTGCACACCCCTCCGCATCCCCGCCCACCTCCAGGCGCCCCCCCCCCCGGGGGGGCCCCCCCCCCCCCCCCCCCGACAACCTTTTTTTTGTTTTTTTTTTTTTTTTTTTGTTTTTTTTTTTTTTGTCGGGCCCCACCCCCCCCCCCCCCCCCCCCCCAGACACCCCCCCAACCCGCCAGCCAGCGCAACCACCTCCGCCCTGACCTTTTATTTAATCGCGCCCCCCCTCCCCGCGCGCCCCCTCCGACCCCGATTCTTTATGTCGCACGCAAACCCCTCCGCCCGACGCCTTATTCGGCACGGCACGCCCCCTCGCATCCCGCCACGCCCACCAGTCAGCGCGCCCCTCCGCCCCGACCCTTTTATGTCGGCACGGCACACCCCTCCGCCCCGACCACTTTATGTCGGCACGGCAAACCCCCTCCGCATCCCCCCCCCCAGCAGCCAGCGCGCCCCTCCGCCCCGACCCATTTATTTCGGCACGGCGAACGCCTCCCGCCCCGACCCATTTATTTCCGCACGGCACACCACCGACATCCCCCCACCCCCCAGCCAGCGCCACCCCCCGCCCTGATTTCTTTTATGTCGGCACGGCACACCCCTTCGCCCCGACGCCTGTATTCCGGCGCGGCACACCCCCCCGCATCCCCCCGCCCACCAGCCAGCGCGCCCCTCCGCCCCGACCCCTTTATTTCGCCACGGCCCCGACTCCCTCCCCGCACGCCCCGCGCGCCCCTTCCGCATCCCCGCCACCCACCTGCCAGCGCCCCCCTCCGCCACGACCCGTTTTTATTACGCCCCCCCCACCCACCCACTGCCAAACCACGCGCCCCTCCGCCACGACTCCTTCATTCCGGCATGGGACACCCCTCCGGACCCCCCTTCGCCCCTTCCACGCGCGCTTCCCCCGCATCCCCCCACCCTTCAGCCAGCGCGCCCCCTCCGCCCCGACCCCTTTTGTTTTGGCGCGGCACCGTCCCCTCCGCCCTGACCCATTCATCTCGGCACGGCACCGGCCCCCCCACCCCGAGCGCCCGGTCCGCATCCCCCCATCCACCAGCCAACGCGCCCCCTCCGCCCCGACACCCATCCCGAGCGCCCCCTCCGTCACTCCATTCACCAGCCTGCGCGCGCCCTCCGCCTCCTCCCCCTTCCTTTCAGTGCAAGAGCCATGGCGCGCGTGCAACTTGTTTAGACGAATGTGCGCGGCGCTAAAGCGAGAACCACATATGAAGACGGAACCGCAGTCATTCCGTGAAGTATCAGGGCAAATATTGGAGACGGATGCGCGCGGCGCGAAAGCAAGAGCCACACATTGAATACGCACCCCCTTCAATCCGTGAAGTTCTGTCAGTTTGTTAGGACGAACCAACACGGTGCTAAGGCGAACGCCACATTTTGAAAACCACGCGCAGTTCATCTGTGAAACGGTTGCAAATTGTTCAAGCTTCAGGATCATAAGTGGTGGGGATGTCTCAGGCGAACCGCCCTGTCTGCCTTTTTTGTGGGCTTCGAAAGGCGACGGGGAGGAGCTAATTCGATGACGTTTCAGTTTGGAATCCCTTTTCTGTTTGTTCATTCGGTTTGGAATGAACACGCCCCTCGTCGTCGTCG